TATATATATATATATATATATATATATATATATATATATATATATATATATATATATATATATATATATATATATATATATATATATATATATATATATATATATATATATATATATATATATATATATATATATATATATATATATATATATATATATATATATATATATATATATATATATATATATATATATATATATATATATATATATATATATATATATATATATATATATATATATGTATATATTCTTAATTTAATTTTTTTTATGAAATTTAAAAAATAATTCAAAATATTTAAATTATGTTTCTATGAAATTTAAAAAATAGTTAAGAATTTTTAAATTAATTTTTTGGATGGATGGATATCCATCCATTATAAATATGTTAATGGATGGATTGGATGGATTTTATCTCTTAATGGATGGATTGGATTGGATTTTTATAAAGGGAGTTAGTGGATTGTTAATGGATTAATGGATTGTTTTGATCCATCCATTAACAATCCAATCCATATCCATCCAATCCATCCATTTTGACACCCATAATATTTACTGTTATAAACATGAACATGAATAGTATATGCTTTAACTTTACCATTTTTAATATGTCAGCCTAAACCAGCTGAGTCTAGAATGTGAGAATCATCGTACTTAAGGTGCTCTAGTAAGCCGTAAATTTAATGTTTATAATGAGAATTTTTTTATGTTTGAAAATTTCTTGTTTTATAATTAAAGTTTATTGCGAAAGCAGAAACATAGCGATACTGATTTCAAATCAAAAGAGTGAAATTGTATCTGACTGTAGGAAAATTCAGGAAATAATTTTAAACATTGTGAAACACGTTTTTATTAATTTGGAAAAATCCAATTTTCATAAATGTGATTTAAAGAGTATAAGCAGGCACACGAAAGCGGGTGTTTATACGTTTAAACTTCGATGTTGATCAAGCAAAAGTGGACGGTACCTTTAAATTAATTTTGAAAGTTATTATTTTCCAAAAGGGATTTTGCACTGTAACAAGGTGAACACGTGACAGTAGACAATTAGAAGGGCCAAAATCTGATATTGGTCACGCGAAACCGGAAGATACCTTCAGCTTAATCCTTTTTCTACAAGAAACTATTTTCTCATTATAAATACTAGCATCCAGACGGGCACTCACGTGCCCATCTGTCCGCTTTTTTATTGCACACATATAAATATAAATGATATATTTTTATTTAATATTAATTTTACATGAAAGTTATGTGGGAAGTTATTAGTAGGAAGTTATATGAAAGATGATAGTAGTAGTTCAATGGAAGTTATTGTGTAAGTTATATATTTTAAAATAAGGGTAAATTTGGTATAAAAAAAAAGCTACACCAAAACCCAAGTATTGCCTTTATATATGTTATAGATATATGCAGTGACTTTGCGAGTACCAATGGTCGATGATAATTGCATTTCGGTCTCTCGTCAGTATAATTAATTTAATATCAACTTATTTTCCTATTTCATGAACAACACCAATTCATATCACCTTATATAAATAAGTAGTAGTAGAGAATGGTAGTTGTCAATTAACCTCTGAGGGATCGATTATACTATATACTAAATGCGATAAAGTTGTGCACATGGGGTCGTATCACGATACAACCATAACTCAAGTAGCTTTTCATCAATCACATCTACCTCCTCATTGAAACACTGTGAATCCTATAGAAGAAGCTTCATTACATCCAAATGTGGTACAAATTCCTCAGATAGCTGGATCTATTCAAGCTCATCTGATCGCTCGTCCAGTTCCACCTATGGTCTCACAACATAAAACCATACATGGCTTCTAGTTAATACAAGTTAACCTTGGCTTACAAGGCGCTAACGAAATACTGAATAATATGATTTTCCCATGGTGATCACAACTACATCTAGGAAGTCTGGCGTTGTTCAGATCTTGATTGAGGACATTCGAGAAAATAGGATTTGAAAAATGCAATTTATGGCCATACAAAGCTCTAACTTGAAGGCGTTCAATAGGACGACCACCCGTCAATGGGGGTTTAAGTAGTTTACATGAAGGATGTTCAAACAACCAATTTGCAATTCCTTGTTATCCCATGCAAAAACGTCTATAATTGCATTTTGGAAAGGCCTTTCACAACCACTCTGGATGATGTAGCCTCACCAGTGTATCTCAAACTCAAGTATCACAATTAGCAGGGAGAATCGGTCACCATCAATGCTGACCTCAAGAGGGAAAAAAGAATATATCATACCTTCCAGAAATATCAAGGAGAAGACATGGCCATAGAGATTTATGTAGCTTCCCTAACTGGTCAGCTTAGTAGGATGGACATTTGTCCTCCAAGAAGTGGCTAGACAAGCAAAAGTGAACAATAAATAATAAGTGGCAACTAGCCCACCTGGTTATGTCACTTTTTCTCATTTGTATTAAAATGTTGTGATTGTATAATCATCTTCCTTATGTACATAATTATCTTGCAACTATAAATTAAATATAACATTTTCTAGAATATTTGTTTCTTTATGTTTATGCATAGTGATAACGAGTCTGGGGTACGACCGACGAGATTGAGGCACAATACACCAAAAGTTACGGATGCTGTCGAAGATGCTTTTCACATCTGACTACAGTAATTAATTTCCCACAAAATAAAACACATGATAAAGAAAATTAGTGGTGTTATTAGAGACACTTTTCACGTCTCACTATAACAATCAATTCCCCACAACATAAAACATATGCTAAGAAAGTCATGGATGTCGTTAAAGACGTTTTTCAGATCTCACTACAACAATCAATTCCATACAGCACAAAGCACACACTAAGAAAATCAGGGGTACTGTCGGGGACGCTTTGTACGTTTGACTATAAAAATCAAATTTTCACAAAAAATTAGGGGTTATGTCATAGACAGTTCGTACGTTTGACTACAACAATCAAATTCCCACAGGAAACAACAGTCCACCCCCTTTGGAAGCTAGCCACTCTAGAGGTTGCAATGGGTTGGCCACACCTCTATCCCAAACCATGTTTTCATCTGAGGAAGGGGAAACTGCTCTTGGCCGGGAATGACCCAAATGATGTTCAACAAACTTCAAGGGAAGACCTCGTAAGTTCGCACAAGATTCAGAGCTTCGCACTCAAGATCATACAAACACACCTCAGACAGGTTAAAACGGCCTTCAATCCGAAAAGAAAATATATTTACGTATATTCTATCATTACAAAGGTACTCTACATATAGTACAAAAATGGCCAGCATGCCTACTTCGATAGAAAGACGACCTCCCCATCTTCAAGCATTTGATCTGACCAAATCTACTCCCTTGAGATGCACAGAGGATGGTGAAAATGATCCACTTGCTGCAAAGCATTCTCAAATGTCAAAGAAGAAGATATCCGCTAAATTGAGGAAATGACTCCAAGAAAAAGAAACAACGCCGATCCATCAAGAACTATATTCTATCATGCAAAAGGGATTAGACTCAATCAAACATATCAAATCACTCCCACACAAGATTCAAGCGTTTCAGTTTCCAAGGGTCGTAATGATGACATATCCGAATAGACTTTTGAAGTATGAAGCATTAAATGTGCGAATCCCCAAGATACTGAAACGTTTCTCTATCACCCTTCCAAAAGAGAGCAAATGAGTGGTCTGTATCTGAGGCTGTCGCGACAAACCCTCGCCTTGCTACGTATAAACAAGGGCTTGTAGGGCAATTGTTCTAGGTTGACTATAACGATCCTGAGCGACCACTCTGAAGGAATTACCATCCTTCTAGATCCTTCTCAATGCACGAGGGCTCTCCTCTTAATAATCACAAAGGATCTCAACCGCAAGTGCATTTAATATATATATATATATATATATATATATATATATATATATATATATATATATATATATATATATATATATATATATATATATATATATATATATATATATATATATATATATATATATATATATATATATATATAGCAACATGCACCTTAGGAAACATTTAACCATTTTAAGTTAAAGCTTGGTAAAATACATCTTTATAAAAATAATATATGTGTGTATGAATGCGCGCGCACGTTTGCTGCTGCGTTTGAAGCTTTGATTCACCATTCTCACCATTTCTCACCTCATTTCTAATTCTAAAACAGAACAGATACTCAATCCACATTTACATTTTAATAAACATATGCTCTTTCACTTCACTTCATCCAAAATATTTTTTTTTCCTCAACACAACCCTGCTCTTAACGTGCGATAGATTATAAACTTACTACGTTACGAGTTTTTTATTTATTTTATATTTCTTTTAATATAAATTTGCAAGATAGGTTCTAATCACATTACTTCTACATAAATTGAATTTACAAATATTTATCTAATTGATAATCAACTCACATACACCTCTAGATTTACTAAACAATGCAAGAAAAACTATAAAATAAAAAACAGAAAATCAAATTTAATTAACAGCGCAGACGGGGCGGGCACCGCTTCACACAGAAGTGGATGATTCCACGTGTACGTGCAAGATGACGTCTAACTGAATGATCGTGCGGAGCACCATCGTTTAACTTTTCCGACTAACACAAAAGCCTCAAAAATCTCTCACCTCCTTAGAGATCTCGCCGTCTTCCTCTCCTTACCACCACGCCCGACGATCCTTGAATCCGAGATTTAGGGTTTCACTTTTCCAATCACCCTTTCTAAATGCAGCCAGCACAGTAATAACGGTATGAATCAAAACTGATTTCAATGCATTTTCCTAGTTCCTACTCCAATTAACTTTTCTAACATTGCATGTTGGATTTTCTTATAAATCAATCTTTTGCGGTTGTTTGCTTTTAGTTAAAGTTGATTTTTGTTTTTATGTGTAGGAAAATTGTGTCACTGGTTCCAAAATGACTTGAAGTGCTTCTTATTAGCTTACTTTGAAGCTTAAACATTACATGATTGAGCTTTGTTAGCAACCAAGAAAGGAAATGGTATGCTTCTATCTCTTTTGCATGGCACTTATATGCATCTTGAAATTAACATTGTTGTCCAGAAATGGATTATAAACTCTGTACCACCAACAACTCTGAAAAAAGACAAGGCACCAGCACTTGATTTGATTACAGTTAATTAATTCTTTTTTTTCTTCAAATTTTTACTGAAAATAAGGCGTGTCCCTCGGGGTGTCCGTATTATGTAGCACCGAAACCTCTGGAGAAAAAAGTGTTCCTGCACCGATGCTTGTTATTATATTTAATTTATTAATTTTTTCAAATTATTACCGATGTCATTGCATCCATATCAGTGTTGGGGTCGTGTTCGGGTGTCTCTGCATCATAGATTATAAACTTTTCATGTTTGAATTTCAAGTGTTAACTATTGCTTTAAATGTGACAAGTTGAAAAATAGTTCTTTGTACTTTGATTTGCATGATGTTTCCAACAATAACTGTTTTATCAGGTGAATAGGTTTTTAGTTCAGATTTGTTGGTGTACTTTAAAAGTTCCTTAAACATAGTTTCATGGTTTTAAATGGCCTTGATATTTCTGTCCCTTTTCACCAAGCATCTTAAAGCTTATATGTATATGTAGCTCAGATATAGTATTAGCAATATCATTTTTCTGTATGGAACTCTCTGGTGGGTGCATTTTACTAATTTTGTTTTTGTGACAGTCGTTTGACAATCAACTATTTTGGATGGGGAAGAGTAATGGGAATTTGAATGACAGTGATGACACGGCGTATGATAATTCTAGAATCGAGTCAAAGCGATCTAATCAGTGGTTTGTGGATGGCCCTGAAGTGGATCTGTCTCCCAATAAGAAACAAGCAGTAGAGGCTCCTAACAGTTTATCGCCAGGATTGCTCAACTCCAATATTTCGGCATGGGGAGATTCTTTAAGTTTTCACTCTTTAACTGGCCATTTTACTGCGCAACTATTTGATCCAGGGGCTGCATCTATGAATTTTGAAGACGCAAACATTTTCCCTTTAAACATAGATACTAAGTTGAGTGCGGAGAGAAAGGATATCTTGGATCCTTTTGGGGGTGATGCCTCATTTGGTTTATCCATGTTAACTACATTAGAAAATTCTCAACCAGTTTTTAATCACGATGGGACTAGAAATGTCAACGATGATGAGGTGAAAGAGTCGAGAAATTTCATGTTTGTTCCAACTAATAATCCCTGTGATGGAGGAGTTAGCAACACTGTGTCACATTCTCATGCATCCAAGGAGGGTGATAGTTCAATATCAACAAGCCTCACATACAACAACGAGGATGCCAATGTAATATTGGTCGACGGTGCTTTTGACAGGATGGATAACGGTTTAATGTCGACGAGTAAAACTTATAACAAGGGAGATGGCAACTTATCGGTACCTCCGACATACAAAGAGATTTGCAATACAATATCAATGGATCAAGGATACATTAATGTAGATAGTGATGCAATGTCTATTGCTCAAGCTTACAACAAGGCCTGTGATAATTCTATGTTGAGTAACCACTTATTCAATGAGGTTGAAGATGACACCATATTGATGCGTCAGACTTACCATCAGAGACCAAATGACATGTCATTTGTTTCTCATTCTTATAATAAAGGAGAAAGCACTATCATATCCTTTGGTGGCTGTGATGATGATGATGCAATTCAATCTGACGCATTTGTTTCTGACTATGCGCTGTTTATGGGTCAAGCAGCTTCACATATGTCACAAGTTGCAAATGAAAAAGAGTTGGTTAGATCAAGCTCTAAACTAATTCCAAGTACAGCCCAGATGTCTGCATCTGAAGCTGAAAATGTTCCCAAGACAAAAGAGGAGATGAAACTGTCTAAAAAAGCTACTTCAAATAACTTCCCTTCGAACGTCAGAAGTTTGCTATCCACTGGTATGCTGGATGGCGTCTCTGTAAAGTATAAAGCATGGTCACGGGAGGTAAAATTTAGTATTCATGATGAGTTCATCTTTCACATTAGCTTATCTTTGATCACGTCTGGTTCTTCCTATGCTTGATAGAAGGAACTTCGAGCTGTTATAAAAGGTGCTGGGTATTTGTGCAGCTGTTCATCGTGTAATTTTTCTAAGGCAAGTTTGTTTAATCACGATAGAGGAAAATCCTTTTGAGGCCAACTTGCTGTCTCTAACATTACATTACTTCAGGTTATTAACGCATACGAGTTTGAGCGGCATGCTGGTTGCAAGACAAAACACCCAAATAATCATATTTACTTTGAGAATGGAAAAACCATATATGGAGTGGTACAAGAGCTCAGGAGCACTCCACAGAATATGTTATTTGAAGTTATTCAGACAATAACTGGTTCACCTATCCATCAGAAATCCTTCCGCATTTGGAAAGGTAAAATATCTTGTTCAGATTACCCTTTTTGTATATAATCAACTGAATTAAGCCCTTATAGCATGCGCGCTTAGCATGTAAATGCTCATGTTAGAGATATTTCTATAATAAAAAATAAAATAAAGTCAAATTATATTATCATATATTCATATAAGCTAACAGCTGTTTTCATAAGTTATGCTAGAGGGTTTATGGATAAAAAATGGAACACAACTTCTAAAGAATCTTACTAATGCTAATATCTTTATGCTGTTGAACCAAGATGCTTTATGTTAGTACATATTTGTTTCTTCTTACAGTCTGTCTTTCTTCTTCCTATACAGAATCCTTTTTGGCTGCAGCACGTGAGCTCCAGCGCATATGTGGTAAAGATTAAGTAAAGCAATTGTTATGAAGAAGCAAATTGGAGTTGCAATATAGAACAACCTTGTTGGGTTCATAGGATTAATGTTTTGATACCTTTTTGGCTGACTAATTGTTGACCCTAAAGTTTGAGTCCTTTACCCTTTTGAGGAAAATAGGGACTAAAATAGAAGGAAACTCTTGAAACGAAATATAACATTGGGTGTTGCAAAATGAATGTAGCATGACATGTAAGTGTATAGAGAGTAAATTTCATGAGGGACACATGATTTTGATGGCATGGTCTAATTATACAACAAAACCTCTGGAAGTGATGTTCTCGTTTTATGTATTTAATTTAACATCAACTTTTTGACAGTTAAAATATTTTGTCGATCAAAACTCATCTAACTGTGCAGTGTGTGTATATATATATATATATATATATATATATATATATATATATATATATATATATATATATATATACACACACACACACACACGTATATACATACATATATGTATATGTATATATACGTATATATATTTATATATACGTGTGTGTGTGTATATAATTGTCCGTCTGCTACTACGAACCCGACCCATAGGCCCATACCTTTCTCGACCGAAGCCAGCATTTCATTTCATTTAAAACGCAATTCCTCGATCCAATCTCGCACTTGGTCTGCTACTCTTTATATATATATATTGTGAATCAGGTGTTTTTAAACAAAGTATAAACGGTTTCTTCTTGATCAAGAAACACACAAGGGTTAAGGTTAACAAAGAAAACAAGGTAAAACAACAATGATTGATTATAAACTGCTATTATTTCCTTTCTCTTTTAACAAGATTACAAGTATACAAGAATAACAAAGCAATCTCTCTCTTAAAATTAGGATTTTATTTTCTTATGTCAAGATTGAGAACCTAGCATTCTATTTATAAGAAAAATAACACACTAACTTAATGGACTTTTTAACAATTATCCATTACGAGCTAACTTAGAGTACAAGCTAACTTTAGCAATTGAGCATACAAGTAAGGTCCAATCTAATATGCTAACAAATTAGCAATATTGACTAATGCATGTTAGAATAAACTTCAACTACAACATGCATTACTTCGACAACAGCATGCGAACATACTTGGACCTCATGCTTAATTCTTGTCGAACTAGAAGCTACACTTCGATCATACTAGAGTTCAATCCAATATCTCACAAATCTCCACCTTGGATCTAACTCTAACATCAAGGAACTAGCTTTCTTCATGCAGCTTTATCAACTGCACACAGTGGAAAAACTTGCAACTAGGAAACGTCTTGGTGATTATATCAGCAGCATGTGAATAGAGTTCGATTGCTGCTTTGCTATCTTCACTCAAGGCTCTACCATAAATTAGGACTCTATTCAGAGATCCATTTATGTACCTTAGAATCCACTTCAATGCTTGCCAGTGAGTCTTTCCAGAATTCGCCAAGTACCTGCTTACAAGACTTACTGCATATGCTATGTCAGGCCTAGTACAAACCATAACATACATTAAAGAACCCACTATGTTAGCATATGGAATGTTATTCATATAAATTCTTTCAACATCAGTGCTAGGACACTGATCTATACTCAGCTTGTATTGAGGGTTTGTCGGAGTCACAACAGACTTTGAATTCGAGATACCAAACTTTTCGAGAATCTTCCGTAGGTATGCCTCTTGAGATAAACATAATTTCGACTGCTTTCTATCTCTTCGGATGTCAATCCCAAGAATTCTGGACATAGCTCCCAGATCCTTCATGTCGAACTCCTTATTGAGTTCAGCCTTCACCCTCATTACATCTTCGACATTGTTGCTTGCTATTAGAATATCATCCACATTGAGCAACAAAATAACAAATGAATTACCTGGTCGAAATCTAAAGTAAACACAGTGGTCGAACTGACTTCTAATGAAACTTATGTGTGCCATGAACTTGTCGAATCTCCTATTCCACTATCGAGGAAATTATTTCAGTCTATATAAGGATATATTCAGCTTGCACACATAATCTTCCTTCCCTTTTTTGACATACTCTTCAAGTTGCCTCATCAGGATTGTTTCATCTAAATCATCATACAAGAACGCAATCTTCACATCCATATGTTCCAGTTTAAGGTCGAACTATGCCACTGTGGCAAGCAAAATTCGAATGGATCTGTGCTTCACAACGGGAGAGAACACATTATTGAAGTTGATACCTTCTTTCTAAGTGAACCCCCTAGCAACCAATCTTTCATTGTATCTCTTCGACGCCACTCCTTCGATTCCTTTCTTAACTTTGAAAATTCATTTACAACTGACTAACCTAGCTCCAACAGATTTTTTGATCAGTTCCCAGGTGTTGTTATCATGAAGAGATTTCATCTCGTCATCCATGGCCTTCATCCATTCAGTCTTCTTTCGACTCCTCATAACTTCCTTATAGTCTCTAGGTTCTTCATCTAGAACCTCACTTGCAGAGATTAAGGCATAAGCTATAAGATCTGCATACCCAAGTCTCTAAGGTGGCTTGATGACTCTCCTCGACCTGTCTCTTGCTAGCAGGTAACCATTATCAGTCTCCTCATCTTCGAAAACATCTTCTGCGTCTTCTTCGAATTCATCTGGGATACACAATTCAACATCAATATGCTCCACCTCAACATGAATCTCTCTCTGTTCCAGCTCTTCGTCAACATCATCAGTTTTCTTGAAAGTCATCTCTGCTTCATTGAAAACTACATCTCTACTGGTGATACACCTCCCGTGACCTGGCTCTAGGCACCATAACCTATAAACTTTGACTCCTTTAGATTATCCCATGAACATGCATTTTAGAGCTCTAGGTTCGACCTTGTCTTGCCTAATGTGAGTATGGGCCACACAACCAAATACTCTCAGTCTGTCGAGAATAGGTGGATGTCACGACCAAAATTCTTCAGGTGTCTTCATTCCCAAGGCAGTCGAGGGACATCTATTTATCAGGTAAGCTGCTGTCGAAACAGCCTCCGCCCAAAACACCTTCTTCAATCCAGCACTAACCAACATGCATCTAACCCTTTCAAAGATTGTTCGATTCAATCTCTCAGCTAAGACATTTTATTGAGGAGTACCTACTACAGTCTTATGCCTTACAATCCCACACTCAACACAGTAACTGTCGAACGCTTCGTTGCAGAATTCAAGGCCATTGTCAGTTCTCAACCTCTTAACCTTTCTGCCAGTTTGAGTTTCGACCAAAATCTTACAACTTTTGAAATTCTCAAAAGTTTCGTCATTCGTCTTCTGAATGAATACCCATAGTTTTCTGGAATAGTCATCAACGATGGATAAAAAATACCTTGCACCTGAGTGTGAAAGATTCCTTGCAGGCCCCCAAAGATCAGCATGAATGTAATCCAGGGATCCATGTGTTCTTTGCTTGCCTTTGTTAAACTTTGTCCTACAAGATTTACCAAATAGATAAGATTCACAAAACTCTAACTTTTCGACTTTGTCACCTCCTAGCAGGTTCTGCTTCCCCAATTCGACCAGGCCTCTTTCGCTGACATGGTCCAATCTCATGTGTCATAAAATCTGTCTTCGACACAAGTTTCGTGGATACAACATTTGTCGAACCACTTACAACCTCAGCCTCAAAGGTATACAAGCCTTGTTTCTTCACGCCTATCAAGACTTTCTTCGACCCCTTCATGACTCTTAGGATACTTTTCTCTCCTTGAAAAACATATCCCTTTCTGTCGAATTCACCAAGAGAAATCAAATTTCTCTTCAAGTCAGGTACATACCTAACTTCAGTCAATAACCTTATTGACTCATCATGGAGCTTGAATCTCACAGATCCAATACCTGCAATTTTGCAAGATTTGTTGTTTCTCAGCAGCACATATCCAACATCTTGATCACATAGCTCCTCGAACAATTCTCTGTTTGGAGTCATGTGCCAAGTGCAACCTGAATCCATAATCCACTCTTTTCTCGAGTCTCCACTTGAAACCACAAGAACATCAGATGAGTCGAAGTCATCTTGAACAATGGCCGCATTGTCATTACCTCCATGATCTTTCAGACATTCAGGACACACTTTCTTGTGTGACCCTCTTTCTTACAGTGATAACATTGAATACCAGATATTTTGCCACTATAATATTTCTGTTGACTTTTACCTTTCTTCTTGTCGAACTTACCATCCTTTCGCAAGATTTTTCCCTTAACGGCCAAACCTTCGCCCACCGTCGAAGGTTTGTGCTCCTTTTCTTCGTTCAAGTCCTTAGAATACAAGATTGATTGAACTTCTTCAAAGGTCAGAGACTCCCTTCCATACAAGAGAGTTTCTTTGAAGTGAGCATGTGTTATAGGCAAAGCACACAGCAACAACAGTGCTTGATTTTCATCATCGATCTTCACATCAATATTTTCAAGATCAAGAATCAGCTTGTTAAACACATCCAACTGCTTAGCCAACACTTTGTCTTCACTTATCTTGAATGAATACAAAGCTTGCTTCAGGTAGAGTCGATTCAGCATAGATTTGGTCATGTACAAACTTTCAAGTTTCACCCATAATTCTGATGCTATAGTCTCTTTTGATACCTATCGAAGAACCTTATCACCAAGACTCAACAATATTGTGTTGTGGGCTTTCTCAATCATGTCCGTCTTTTCTTTTTCCGTTAATGCAGCGTCCATGGCTGTCTCTCCCTTCAACGCTTCCAAACAACCCTGCTGAACCAGTAGCGCTTTCATCTTTAAGCGCCACAGGCCGAAGTCGTTCACTCCGGTGAACTTTTCAATCTCATACTTTGTTGAAGGCGTCTTCTCCATGCTCACTGCACCAATTTGTTGTGAATCGGATGACTTTAAATAAAGTATAAACGGTTTCTTCTTGATCAAAAAACACACAAGGGTTAAGGTTAACAAAGAACACAAGGTAAAACAACAAGGAACAACAATGTTTGGTTATAAACTGCTATTCTTTCCTTTCTCTTTTAACAAGATTACAAGTATACAAAA